AACTCCCTGAGAGTAGGAATTTTTCCACTTTTTGTATTTAAAGCCCAGTTCTTAAAATAGTGTCTGATGCATACTATAATAGACATGTAGTAAATGCTTATTGATTGAGTTGTTTATATTTTATACTCCACCCCCAAGTAGAAAGAAAGCTTCTTAAGGGTAGGGATTCTTTTCTTTTTTTTACCCCCCTAGGTTTATCACAGTGTCTTATACATAGTAAGTACTTGATAAATGTTTACTAAATTCAATTCAATCCCTGAACTACAGATTGGAAAAACATGGACTGCTAGAGAAGAGAAAAAATAGAGAGATGATCATTTCTTTAAGGTTATAAATAACCAGATATATGAGGGTATATATCAGGACTGGTGCCAATGGTGTGATTTGATGGAGCTTGCATTACCTGACAAGCACAAAATACCAAAGGAAAATACCAAATGGAATTGTTTCCCTTTTTTACGTACATTGCACAAAGCAGATGTGTGTCTGTCCGTGTGGTTCTGACATGCCTAAATAAGGCTTTTCTGAACTCTATCATCCCAGAGACCCCAACTCAGCCAACTTCCAAGCTCCAAGGCTTTACGTTATTAAAGCTCCATTTTCCAGATGTCTAGATTGGTAGGGCACCTAAGAATTTGAAACCCTGAACTGACTTAAGTTCAGGGGATCAAATCATTGTAAAATATGTATCCATGTGACATAAATCAGTTTTCCAATATTATGGTCTGGGATCCATTTATAATTTATTTTTTCTTCTCACTAATTACCCTTAAAATATGGTGCCTCTCATGGATTTCCATCATGTATATATTTGTTGCTGTTGAGGTAGAAGGGAATGGATAAGCTGGTAAAAGATTTAACAGATGGTTAGGTTTCCCAGGGCAACACGATAAGGTTGGCTAAATTTCATTTCCCATCCTCAGAGTCCATACTAGGTTTTTCTTCAGCCAAATTCCTTCTTCTGAGCACCTGTTTCCCACATTAATCACCTTCATTGATGGCTTTTGAGCCCCTCTCAGACTCTCTCCCATCTCCAGAAAGCTAACAATCAGCACAACTCTGACCAATGCTAACTGGGAGGACAATCACGTCATGTCTACTTAATACACTCCTCTACATATCATCATTTTCTGGTCCCTTCTAAAACAACCCTGCCTTACAGATATATATATTCAACCTCTGATTTCATGACAGCCTTTTGTCCTTTCCCCCTGTATTTATGTGCTTGGTTGTCATTCTCTCATCTTACTTCTTTGCCTCTCCACAAAATTCCTTGACCTCTTAAGATGAATCCATAAATTCTGAAATGCCAAAGGACCAGCAGATACAATTTGATGTGGTTTTGGGGTTTTTTTATCCTCAAGCAAAAATAGATGACTGTTGAGGTCTTTCTTGCCACCCTGTATTGCTGCATTTGGAAAAGCCAACCATATTTCAATACATAGAATAGCATGGCTTGTGGGAGTCCATCCTTTTCACATCTTAATTCTATGCAGCTAAAATTAATGACTGGGACTGGATAAGATGGTTCCCAGGCTATGAAATTACTTGTTCATTCTACAAAAGAATAGATTTAAAATGGAAGAAATGCAGTTATCTCTAAGGCTTTATGCTGTGACTGTTTTTGTGAATATCAGGAACGTACTATTTTAAAGGAAAACCATTTTAACCAAGGCCTTGACAGATGCTTTGGTTTAAATGTCCTTTGAAAGTTAATTTATTCATTTGAAGTTGTAGTTTTGTTTTGATTTAGATTTTGACCACAGGATCACTGTTTAGGGCGAAATGGGAACATATCATGGTATAATGAAAAGAGCACTGAATATGGCATTGGAAGTCCCAGGTATGTTACTACCTGTGTGCTATTAGGTAAGTGGTTGAACTCCTATGGGCCTCAGTTTCCTCATCTATAAAACAAGAAAATCAGATTAGATGACTTCTAAGTGCCACTTGGCTCCACCATCCTATGGCAAACTATTGAAACTGCCTACTTGTTATGTAGTGGGTACCAAAATCTATGTACCATGGAAAGATGGATTTTCTGACATTGAAAATAATACATTGTTCAATCGTTTCTCAGTTACGTCCAACTCTTTCATGACCCCATCTAGAATTTGCTTGACAAAGATACTGGAGTAGTTTGTTGTTTGCTTCTCTAACTCATTTTACAGATGAGGAAACTGAGGCAAACAGGTTAAGTGACTTGTCCAGGGTCACACAGCTAGTAAGTATCTGAAGCCAGATTTGAACTCATCTTACCTTAAGTAATTCCTCTTCCTCTTCAATCAGATGACTAATCACCTCACATTCTTTACTTCTACCCCCACTCTCCCTTATAATCTCATGCATGGTCAAGTTTAAAACAGCTTAAAATTTTAAATTCCTGGGAGATTTGTATTTTAGCAAGGATCAAAGTAGATTGACATGGTGGTCATAGAAAGAGTCAACATACCTGAGTTTTAGGCTTGTCTCTAGGTACTAGGTTCTCGTTGGGAAAATCACCACAACTCTCTAGGTCTCAGTTTCCTCATCTGTACGATGAGGCATTGGGGCTAGAAGATCTCCAAGGGTCCTTCCATTTCCAATATTATGTGATTCTAGTATTCAAAAGCAGAGGTTCTTAATCTTTTTTATGCCCTGGACCCCTTGGACAGTTAATCTTGTGAAGCCTATGAACCTCTTCTCAAGAAATAATTTTAAACATAAAATAAAATATATAGGATTATGAAGAAAATAAATTATGCAGTTTTCAGAATTATATATATACATGTGTATGCATATATGTGCATGTGTGTGTATACACATGTAAGTATGTATATATGTTTTCCTTCTGATATACACATGCATATATGTGTGTATAACACACACATTCATATATTTAAATTCACAAACCCTAGATTAAGGATTCTTGTTTTAAAAAGATGAAGCTTTAATGATAGAATTTCAGGAGTCTGTGGGTGGAAAAAGCTGAGGAAAGATAGTCTTCCAGAAGCCCTGAAATCATACCAGTTAGGCAGACACCTACTCAATGTAGGTGTAATAGTAACTATTACTAGCATAAGTAAGATTTCCCCTGGGCCCCCAGAATGACCATGAAAGGATCCAGTGGCTTTCTGTTGAAAAGGATCACAGTACTATCAACCAGAGAGCACAAGGTAAGAGAGAGAAGGCTCTAACCACTACCACTAACATCCTTCCCTTTCCAGTCATTCCAAACCACCATATTGACTGGGACTGGACAGAGGAAAGGCATGGCATTTGAGGTAATAAAAGCTGCCATTTATGCCAGAAAGCTACAGAAGGAGCATAGGATATAGGAGATGAATTATTCCTTAAACATGAAAACATAGTATAACTCTAGTCTATGATCTTTTTCATTGAAGTAGAATGTACATACACTATACTTATATAAGAACCTTCCTTCTCCTTATGAGTCTCTTTCCCAACTCACCTGGAGAATCCTTGTGGATCATTCAGAGTCTGAATTTTCTGCCTGACAGCTTACTGAACATCCATCAATCAACAAACATTTGTTAGTCACCTATGATGTGACAGACAAGGTTTTTTTCATCCTAATGGACTATGGGGACTGGTTTGTCAGGACTGTTTCATTGGGTACCTGTGTGACTTCAGGTATATTAAATTCCTTCTCTCAGTCTCAGTTTTCTCACCAATGCATTAAGGAGATGGAGTCCATTTAGCCTCAATTCTTGTGATTCTATGACCTTATAACTAATTTTTTTTCTCTTTGTCTTCATTCACACGTTTTAGCAAATCTAGGAAAATTAAGAATTTATTCAGTACTGAGTATGTGCGTAAATACAAAGATAAAAATACAATACTTCATGACTTTAAGGAAGGTACCTGGGGGAGGGGGGGAAGATAATATGAGAGAAATAGCCAGAACTATAACTAGGACAGAGTGATCAGGGTTTTGCACCAAGGCACCAAATTTAGTGACAACATTTGCAGTCCTTTGGCATCTTGGAAACAATAGAATTTAGCAACTAGCTAGCAAAACAGGCAAAGGAGTAAGCTATTAAATGTTGAGCTGGGGTTAATTCCACATATAAAAACTTCCCCAACTTAGGCCTCATACTAGTGTCCTGGGTTTTCTGACTCTGGAGCCTATGAACCTCTTCTCAAGATAATATTTTTTCAATGTATAAAACAAAATATAGGATTACAAAGGGAACTAATTATACTGAAATATTTATCAGGGGTGTGTGTGTGTGTGTGTGTGTGTGTGTGTGTGTGTGACCAAGTCAAAGTGCCCTTGGTAGTATTTGTCTTGCATGTAAAAATTCCTAGTGATAGGTTTGCAATCAGCTTCCCTCAAATGAACACAACAAAAATTTTACAACTATTCACCTTCTTCTACAATTAAAAACCTATCCACGTCCATTTGCACAGGGATCGATAACACATTCGCGTTAGTCCACGTTATCTTAAGGGAACTAAAAAGTTAAGCAGATTTAGTTCATGTTAGTACATATTTAAATGGTGCATCTTATAGTAACTTTAATTAGACTAAATATATACACAGAAACTATCATAAATTATAAAAAATCTGTCGCAATGTCAAAAGTTTTCCTAGCTATCAGTTGTCATCAATAGATGTGTGCATGTTACAAATAGAGTTTCCTGTAACTCATTTCTTTAATACTGTCTTTAAAATTCAGGCCGTTTCCGGTCGGTAGCAATGGAAAATTAAGTTTAAAAAATGCTATATGAAAACTTTTCTAGAGACAAAAAGTTCTCTTCAAATGAATTTCTTTCACAGAACTGCATTATTCTAGAAAAAAAAAGTAGACCACAACTTGATAGTATGCATGAATATAAAACATATTAAATAAGTATAATATTTTTGCAATAACCCCAATCACAAGCAAAAAAGCACCCAGTGCATCCATATGGACAGATGCTATATTCAGCTGACCATTGAACACCAGAGAAATACTAACAGCCTAAAATTTGTTTGTTCCACATGAGAAACTCACAACAAATGAAGACTTCCAAGTGCTGGGAGAGGGGAAATGTCAGCCTTCAGCCCATAGCTTTCCAGTGGAGGGAAATAAAACAGCACTGTAATTATGTTTTGCAGATGTTGTGTTAATATTTTTGCCATTACATATGAATTCAGTCGGACTGGGGGGAGTATTGGGGGAGAACACACAGAAGGGAATTGATATATTTCCATGTTAAGCAGCATTAGTTCATATAGAAGAGTAAAATATGTTCCACTTTACTGCAGGTAGCAGATAACTCTAGTGTTATTCCTATCAAAAGCACAAACCATGGCCTTTGTAGATCATGTCCTCAATGACAAATTCCTTTGAACAATTCATCCCTCTTCATTCAGACCATTTTTCTTCCTTTTCTACACATAGTTTACAAGAATATAAGCATATCCAAGAAATCCCATTACCAAATCTCCACAATAGTAACTGTGTTAATATTGATTCCGTTCCTTTTAGATGCACAGAGGAAAGAAGGGAGAGGAAACAAATTTTATCCAGCAAAGGCTTATAAAGTCCCTATTCCTTCCAAAGCTGTTGCTTTTTTCTTCTTTGCTGTGTACCTCCTGCCCTTAGGTGACAATATGGGCTTACCCAACTGGACCTTGACTGAATAAAGTGACTTCGAACATCTCCCTTTCGATAGATGCCATCAAAATATTCCTGGATGCTTAGTAGAGTATCTTTGTTTCCATCGTTCAAAGTGTACTTTCTTCTTCAAAGTCATACTTCTCCACCATGGACTGGGTCACATTCTTGTCTTGATACTTATCCTCACTGAACTCCTGGTAAGGATCTTTCTTTGAAATGGCTTTCTTGGAGCGAACATAACCCCAAAAGACAGTTAATGCCAGGAAAGAATAAAACATCATGACAAAGAGAACGAAGAAATAGGCATTGTCATATGGTTTGGATTTTGGATTTTTCTCCTCTGTAGCATTTTTGACTTTGTTTTCCAGTTTTCTTTCCATTAGTTGAAAAACACACTGAGAGATGAGAGAAGCCAAAGTTGTGTGGTTCATGCTGCAGTTTTTTTTCAAAAATTTGAAAGAGTGTCTTTAAAGCGGAGATCAGCAAGTACCCTGCTCCTTTCCTCTTTTGGTATGGAATGCTTTCCAGGACTTGTTGAGTTCCAGCCACCTGATAATAGACCATTTGCTAAGATAAGACTCAATGCTCTGAGAGTTAAATCGGTTCATAATTATAGCACAGGATACTGAGTTAAAACAAAAACAAAAGCTGTTCATCACAACTTTAGCAGAAATTACTCTGAATATTTGGATTGCAGGATTTATTGACTTATCTTCTTTTATTTTTTCTTAAGAATGGATTCTGGAGGCACCAAAAAGAAATTTAAAAATTAGAGAGGATATCTTTCTACCTGTGATTTCCAAGGAAAGGTCTGGATCGGTACCTGCCACCTGGTCTATTTAGCCCTTTGGGAGGGGAGCTAGAAATTGGAAACTTTCCATAGGAACCCCCTCCCCCAGGAGACTCAGAACTGAATTTTCACCCCAATGGTTTCTAGATTCACAACCCTCCTCTCCACAACAACAAAAACAACAAAGAAGGAAATGCTTGAACATGTTGCTCTGATGATAGAAAAATCTTGACTGTCAGCAATAAGAGGAGAACATGGCATGTTTTCAGAAGCTGGAGCCAGAGGTTAAGCTGTCTTCAGAGAGGGTTAGCACAGGTCAGGTCCTCATGCATGATAATAGTGATCTAGGACTTCCAAGGATTCCTACTTCCTACTTTTACTGGCAAAGTCATTCAAAAGTAAATTGTTGTTTTACAAAGTAGTGAAACCTTATCTCAGACCCCTCTTCCTCCACCAATCTAACCCACCCGCCCCGCCAAGGGGAAAAAAAAATTCTCCTTCTCTGGGCAAATGACAATGCCAGCTGTTTCTCTCTGTGATCTGAAATCTGGGGAGTAAGGACGCTGACTTTGAAGTGGAGAGCACCTCAGCCTCAGCAGCATTTTGCTAACTTGGCACTGTTTCTCTAAGCCTGACCCCTGAACTGATTGGATGATGACTAATTCACATGCTAAGATTGTGGTATATCGGTATCACTAAACTGCCTGCATTTGTCATTAGGGGTTTGTAGTAAAAAGAAAGATGAAAGAGAAAGGTGTAATATTAGACCAGGAGCCAAAATATAGAATGAGTGCACTTGGAACAAGGAACTTAAAGAAGAAATAGGCAACTTTATGGCCTCACAAGCAGACTGCTTTAAAATGAGCCTTGCAGGTAACACAGAAATACCTTGAGAATAATGCTTACAATATGCAAGATTCCTCTTTCTTTGCTTCTGAGTCTATTTTAAAGGTTTTGTTGATTGGTGAGTTTTTATCAATAACACAGCATTTACATGAATCTTAGAAGAATGTTAGTATAAAATCGCACTTTGTAGCAATAAAGATTTCATGTTAAACATGCCTACATTTTGAAACCATAGCATACAAGAAAAAGATCGTTTTGTTTGTTTGTTTATTTTTCTGTGATGGAGTTAAATGGTTCCCTGTGTGGAAAACTAACTTTTCCTGTGCTTTTTTTTTTATAAAAACAAGCTCTGACCTATCTTCCAAGGATATGAGAAATTCCCGTTTCATGTTTATCTCAACACCCAAAACTTAATGTCATGCTGTACAACTGATTCGCATTCTATCAATATTGTAAATGATAGTCTGTTGACCTCCACCCCAAATACTCCTATGAAACTCCCTTCAAGAAATTACCAGTCCTCTAAATGTGAATAATGATCCTTTGAACAAGAATCTAAAGACCCATTTCCATAGACTGGTACAATTCTCTTAAAGGAATACATACGAGAAGTCAAATAAAAGAGGTGGGGCAAAACGAAGATTAAAAAGAAAGTAAAAGATTAAAAGGGTAAAGAATATAAGGAAAATTCAAAAGGGAAAAAGATCAAAAAGAGGATTAAACATGTTACTTGTTGTTTTTCAGAAATTAAAAAAGTATGGAGGATAAGGAATTTGTTTCCTTTTGGCCCTAGAAAAATGCCAATTATAGTAGCTGAACTGGCTGGATCACATATCAGCATGCTTTGGAAATGTGAGAAATGAATGGGAAATATAAACACAGAGCAATAGCTTACAGTTATGTTATGAATTAAGCCCAAAAAATATCAAGATTTAGTCACTGAATAAGCTGCCAAAGTTAATTTTCCCTGATGAACTTGAGCAAACTCAGAATAGAAGTGCTAGCACTACAGTTCCATGGGTCCCACGGCCCTTCTGCTTTCTAGAATCTAATTCTTCGCTTTCTCATGAAAAGCCTCAGGATAAGAGAACTCAGTTAGCAAGGATGAAATCATGAACTGCCCTTTTGATTTCACAATATCTATTTATTTCAGCTGTGACTTTTGATATATCACGGAGAAATACTATACTATACGACAATTCAGCCACATTGCAAAAAATGTTCACTGAGTAATATACCATAATATGCCAATGGATCTGTGATCTCACTGATATCGGCAGATTATAACATCCAGGTCTGCCTGAAAGGTATAACTTTTGGAGGTTTTTTTTCCCCTCTCTATTATGCTATTTTAATACCAATATTCATTTCTTAAAAGTACCTAATTTTGATTTACCTTTTAAAATAAATAGAATTTATTTTGCTTTCTTTTAGTTAAATCTTATTAAAATAGTACAAGAGTATATCTTTCAAAGTTCCAAGTTCAAGTATATTCAGCTGTAGAAATTACCTAGTGTATTTATTAGGGATGTCAAACATGAAAAAAAAGACACTTTCTCATTAACAATATAAATAATAAACAATATAAATAATACAAATAAGGGAAAATAAATTTATTTCATTCTTTCACTTTTTAAATTTGAATATTTTCTTTGTTTCACACATAGAGATACGCATGTTTGTGGCTGATTGACGTATTTTTTCTTTGCTTCAACCCCACTCAGCTTAAAACCACAATGAATTTCATGCCATCGTTTTTCAATTAGAAACTATATGTAAAATGATGAAAATAAAGTCTGCATTTGGAAAGGAGACGGTTAACTGAATATCAAGACTCTAGAACCAGTGACTCCAAATACACGACAACTTTAAAAGAATCTCTATAACAGCCAAAGATTTTGCTGTCTTCACCTTCTTTGTCATTGTTATTGTTGCTTGTTTGTCTGTTAGGGGAGGAAGGTAACCCTCACAGATCTACTCATAAAAAAAGAAAGGAAAGGGATAAGGAAATAAAAGAAAGAGAAAGAAAAGGGAGAGGGAAAGAAAGAATGGAAAAACTGAACGATTTTAATTTTAGGGCTCTTCAGAAGTGGAATGGGCTGCCTTGGAAGGTGGTGAGTTCTTCCTCACCAGAGATCTTTAAGCAAATGTTGAATGCCCATTTATCAAGTATGTGTTATAGTGGAGAATTGCACTGAGGGGAGAGGAAAGAGGGTTAACTGACCTGGCCACTGAAGCCCTTTCCTACTGTACAATGTCAAATCTAAGAGTTTAAAGGGCTAATCAGACAGAAGGGAAACCTCTCTTTGAAAGGAACCAACAAAAACAGATTCATTCTGAATACTAATTATATTAATCCCTATTGAATTCTAATAGAAATATTGATTTTTATTATGGATGCTTTAGTGGGAAGACATAAAATGGTTCATGGCAAGTGAAAAGGGCCTATGATACAATGCAACACATGCCATCCAGTGTTCCGCCATCATGCCAGGTACCAGGCTCATGAGAGTGCCTTGGCATTCTTCCAAGAAAAGCTGCTGTCTTGTTCTCCTCTTATTTCTTCCAAACTAGCTTTAATGCAGTTACTGTAAAGTGGACTACAGTAGAAGGGTTTTTTTGTTTGGTTTGTTTTGGTTTTTAAGACATCAATTTTACATGTGGGATTCTCTTTGTCACCATCCAAAGGGAGGAGAGAGATAAGATCAGGTCTCTGTAAACAAGTGGGCCACTTTACCCCCTGCTGGTGTCCTCATGTGGGGGGTGGGAAGTGAAGGAAATCGGAAAGAAAAGACTTGTCCCCACCGGAATGGATGTGGAGCCACTGGCACCATCTGCTTTTCTTACAAATGCTTCCTCCAGGTCAGGGATTCTTAACCTTTTGTTGGGTCATGGACCCTTTTGGAAATCAAAGCCTGTGGACCCTTTCTCAGAATAATGTTTTAAATGTGTAAATGAAAATATATAGGATTACAAATAAAACCACTTATACTGAAATTCAGTTATCGATTTATCTATGTGTATGTATGAGTGTATACATATACATATCATACATACATATACATTTACATAGGCTATATATGTGTGTGTGCATATATGTGTATATGTGTGTGTATACATACATACATACATACACAGACACAAAGAGTTTCAGTGACCTTCTCATACAAGTAGTTAGCTTTCTCTTCAACATCTTCTCAACCTTTAAAACCTTTTACATTCTCAAGAGGAAGCCAAATAGAGGATTAAGAATTAGAAGGTTAAGAACTGGAAGGGACCTCGTGCATTACCTAGTCCAACCTCCCATTTTACAGAAGAGAAATTGAGGCCCACAGCAGTTCCATGACTTGTCTAAGATCGCACAAGTAGAATGTAGAAGAGTAACCTTTTCTTTATTATTCAAAATTGTATTGGTTAATGAGAGGAAAACTTTGAGAACCGTTGCCTTCTCCAGTGATACATGCTATTCTTTCTCATCTTTTTAAGTTTTCTTTGATCCTCATCACCACTAGCACTACAGCACACTTGAGAAAAATGCTTTTATCATCCCCAGGACACAATCCAAACCCTAGCTTTTCCCATGCAGGAAGCAGCAAAGTAGAGGGGAAAACATGCCTCCCTTCTGCCCTGAATCCTCCTCTACAATCTCCTCTGAAGCCCAGAGACTGGGTCCTGGAGGAACTTCCGTCCTGGAACAGACATCTTTTAATTGGCAACTGCTTTTCTGAAATACTATTTCCACAGTGGCCACATTTCTCTTCTTCCTTTGAGGCCACTTCCTTGCCAATAGCCTTGCTTCTCCTGCCCACTTTTCCCACCCTCACATCCCCCAGCCCCAGTTCTAGAACAATTAACTATGAT